ACAGACATGACTAGAGAGTCATAACCATGACATGTTCTATCGGTCCTTTTTCTTCTTTCTTTCTTTATTTTTCATCTTTATCTCATTCTTTCTCATCCTTCTTCATTGATTTTTCTGAGAGATCATATCTTTACCTAAAATGGATGCAAGTAACATACCAAAAGAGAAATGTAACAAGCCTAAAGTAAAAAATTGAATTTAAAGCAACTTCTATGGTAAAAATATCTTATTAATGCATGAAAGTACTTCTAATTAGTTAAATGCTTAAGATAAAAACATGATAAAAATGCAAGACATTATGTGTATATGGAATATTGTAGGAATTTATTGAGTGAGAGAAGAATAGTTTGGTACATGAGTTAGAGAGGGAGCTTGACTATGTAACACTAAAGGAAGAGTCATAGGATGAGTTGTTATGGAGGGGAGACAACTTCGAGTGCTATATTGTTAAATTGGCATACAAATTTTCTTTCATTGCTTTAAATTTTCTTTGGCATGTGATAATGGTAATACTTTGGTAGAAAGCATAAATCATATTTTCTTTCATTGCTTTAAATTTTCCTCCCTATGGTATGTTGTATTAAAGTGGTGGTGGAGTGTATCTAGCTATTACATTACAAGCAAATATTGTTGGTCTCTCTAACCAATTCAATAGCTTCATGTGTGGTGCTCAATAGAAGACAAATAAATGGGTTATTATATGGTATTATTTGAGTAATATGGAAGAGCAAGAATAGCTATATATTTGCCGAGGCCGATACAAATATATATCAAATGTTAGAAAAGATCCGGTTATTATCGTGATAATGACTAAAAAGTGGAGACATTCTCGTCTTCAAAAAGGGTACAAATGTTATTCCCCAGCTACCCCCCTCCTCTTGTTACATATCACCGTCGACCACGACAAATTGGCCCGACATTACCTGAAGAGTCACCAGATTCAGCCTAAGCAATTACATTAGGAGAAAAGACCAATCAGAAAAATACAATAAATATTTAAATAAGAAGAAGCTTTCTAAACAAGCTATTCTAACACTCCCCCTCAAGTTGGTGCATACAGATTATATGAACCGAGCTTGGAACATAAAAATTGAATTCGAGGCCCCCTTAATGAATTAGTCATAACATCTGCAAGTTGTTCACTGGAATTGACAAATTCAGTAATGATTTCCTTGGACAACAACTTCTCTCTCCCAAAATGACAATCAACCTCTATGTGCTTGGTTCTCTCGTGAAATACTGGATCGGAAGCAATGTGAAGAGCGGCTTGATTATCACAATACAATTTCATTGGATGATCCTCACAAAATCTTAACTCTTGAATGAGTTGCTTAATCCGTATAAATTCACAAGTAATCAAGGCCATAGCTTGATATTCAGCTTCAACACTAGATTGAGCAACAACATTTTGTTTCTTACTCTTCCAAGAAATGAGATTTCCACCAAGGAATACACAATATCCAGTAGTAGAGCGCCTATCTATAGGACATCATGCCCAATCAACATCACAGTATCCAGAAATTCGATTATCTCCTTTGTCCTCATATAGTAATCCTTGTCCTGGAGCCTTTTGATATATCTAAGAATACGCAGAACAACATTCCAATGATCAATATGAGGAGCCTGCATGAACTGACTAACAAGCCCTACTGCAAAAGAGAGATCAGGTCTCGTGATTGTAAGATAAATGAGTTTCCCAACCAATCTCCTATACCTTTCTGGATCTATGAACGGTTCACCTTGATCAGTCATTAACTTTTGGTTAGGATCCATAGGACTATCAATGGGTCTGCAATCAGTCATGCCTGTTTCCTCCAAAATGTCCAAAGCATACTTCCTTTGAGAGATCACAATGCCTTCCTTTGATTGGGAAACTTCAATACCAAGAAAATATTTTAGATGTTCCTGATCTTTGGTCTGAAAATGGCTAAACAAATGTTTCTTCAATTGAGAAATTGTAGCTACATCGTTTCCTGTAATCACTATGTCATCCACATAAACAATTAAATAAACACATCTCCCAGGAGAAGTATGACAATAGAAAACTGAGTGGTCTGCTTCTTTTAAGCCCAAAGTCTTGTACAACATGACTAAATTTTCCAAACGAGTTAGGTTGTGAATCATGTCAATTAGGCAAACATGTTAGGTCATCTTTTCCCAAGCAAACTGATAAAAGATGTAACTCGATTTTCACCAGCATTCATTCTGATATTTGGGGTCCAAGTCATGTAACATCTTTTGGTTTCAGATATTTTGTAACCTTTATTGATGAATTTTCTCGATGTACTTGGGTATATTTAATGAAAGATCGTTCTAAGCTTTTGTCTATTTTGAGCCCATAAATTTGAGTATACCCCTTGGCCACCAATCTGGCTTTGAGCCGATCAACTGTACCATCAGGGCCAACTTTAATAGCATAGACCCATCTGCATCCAACTGGTCGTTTCCCAGGAGGGAGGGGAACTAGCTCCCATGTACCACTATGCTCTAGAGCTTGCATTTCAGCAATCATGGCTTCTCTCCATCCAGGATGACCAAGAGCCTCATGAACATTTTTAGGAATAGTTAGAGGAGATATAGAAGTGACAAAGGAGAAATACAAGGGAGATAATCGATGATAACTCAGAAAATTATAAATAGGATGAGGATTTCGAGTAGACCGAATACCTTTTCGAAGAGCAATCATGTTGTGACTGATTCCCTTCTTCGTCATTAGATTCACCTTCTGTTGTATTCTCTTCTGCAGCTTCAGCAGTGTTTTTAGTATTTCCATATTCTAAATCTGCAAATTGTTCTTCTCTGTGACTGACATTCCAGTTCCATTAAGGCCCCCGACATTACCTGAAGAGTCACCAGATTCTTGTCCTTCACCATCAGATGCCCTTACTGTGGATCCTAGTGAGGATAGCTCTGAATGGCCCATTGCTCTTCGAAAAGGTATTCGGTCTACTCGAAATCCTCATCCTATTTATAATTTTCTGAGTTATCATCGATTATCTCCCTTGTATTTCTCCTTTGTCACTTCTATATCTCCTCTAACTATTCCTAAAAATGTTCATGAGGCTCTTGGTCATCCTGGATGGAGAGAAGCCATGATTGCTGAAATGCAAGCTCTAGAGCATAGTGGTACATGGGAGCTAGTTCCCCTCCCTCCTGGGAAACGACCAGTTGGATGCAGATGGGTCTATGCTATTAAAGTTGGCCCTGATGGTACAGTTGATCGGCTCAAAGCCAGATTGGTGGCCAAGGGGTATACTCAAATTTATGGGCTCAACTATAGTGACACTTTCTCTCCTGTGGCCAAGCTTCCTACTGTTCGTCTCTTTCTTGTTATGGCAGCCATTCGTCATTGGCCTCTCCACCAATTAGACATTAAAAATGCCTTTCTTCATAGTGAGTTGGAGGAGGAGATTTACATGGAGCAACCTTCTGGATTTGTTGCTTAGGGGGAGTCTCGTTTAGTTTGTAAATTGAGAAGATCTCTTTATGACCTCAAACAATCTCCTCAAACTTGGTTTGGAAAATTTAGTCATGTTGTACAAGACTTTGGGCTTAAAAGAAGCAGACCACTCAGTTTTCTATTGTCATACTTCTCCTGGGAGATGTGTTTATTTAATTGTTTATGTGGATGACATAGTGATTACAGGAAACGAGCTCTGAATGGCCCATTGCTCTTCGAAAAGGTATTCGGTCTACTCGAAATCCTCATCCTATTTATAATTTTCTGAGTTATCATCGATTATCTCCCTTGTATTTCTCCTTTGTCACTTCTATATCTCCTCTAACTATTCCTAAAAATGTTCATGAGGCTCTTGGTCATCCTGGATGGAGAGAAGCCATGATTGCTGAAATGCAAGCTCTAGAGCATAGTGGTACATGGGAGCTAGTTCCCCTCCCTCCTGGGAAACGACCAGTTGGATGCAGATGGGTCTATGCTATTAAAGTTGGCCCTGATGGTACAGTTGATCGGCTCAAAGCCAGATTGGTGGCCAAGGGGTATACTCAAATTTATGGGCTCAACTATAGTGACACTTTCTCTCCTGTGGCCAAGCTTCCTACTGTTCGTCTCTTTCTTGTTATGGCAGCCATTCGTCATTGGCCTCTCCACCAATTAGACATTAAAAATGCCTTTCTTCATAGTGAGTTGGAGGAGGAGATTTACATGGAGCAACCTTCTGGATTTGTTGCTTAGGGGGAGTCTCGTTTAGTTTGTAAATTGAGAAGATCTCTTTATGACCTCAAACAATCTCCTCAAACTTGGTTTGGAAAATTTAGTCATGTTGTACAAGACTTTGGGCTTAAAAGAAGCAGACCACTCAGTTTTCTATTGTCATACTTCTCCTGGGAGATGTGTTTATTTAATTGTTTATGTGGATGACATAGTGATTACAGGAAACGATGTAGCTACAATTTCTCAATTGAAGAAACATTTGTTTAGCCATTTAGTGAGGCCCAAACAACTAACCAACATTGAAAACAGATTACCATAACTAACACAACAGAAAATATGCTAACATTGTATTCTTTCATGAATGACCGCGAAAAATATTGTGAAATTGATTGTGCGCACTCAGTTTTATAAATGTTAATCATATTTGTTTTAATGTTTTTTTGTTGATACACATAATTAGTACATGCTAATGTTAATTATAACATAATCGTGTCTTGCATGTAATGAGCCTTGGGTGGAGTTTTAAATTTCTGCCGTCTGTTAAAAAACAAGAAAATTTCCTCAGTGGTTTAACGAACCACTGTGATATGTCAGCCGTAAGAGTAACGAAATGATAATGTAGAAAGCAGAATGCTAATTTAAGCACCTAGACCTGAGGCATCATTATTCTACTATATATTTTCTCCGCTGCTGAAAAAGAGAAAACGAAACCAGAGTGGGAGTCAACAGAAGGAGAAAACAGCACTGTGAGAAAAACAAAATAAATAAAAAACAATGAAAATAGAAGTGAGAGGTGTGGAGAGGAAAATTCAAAGAAAAAGACTTGAAGTGCAAAGTTTTCCACACGGTTTGTAGCTATAAGAAGAGTAAACAAAACCTTAATGCAAGGCATAGCTGAGAGTGAAGAAGCAATGGCTTCCAATGTTCATCTCTTACTCTTCTCGCTCTTTTCCCTTTTCCTCACTCTCCACGCTAAACTCCATCTCTACCCTTCAGACTTCAAGGCTCTATTAGCACTCCAAAAGTCCCTCGGAGTCAACGGTCAACTCCGGGCCAACGAAGCATGTAAGGCACAAGGCGTGTTCTGCGAGAGAAGACTCTCCGACACAGAAACCTACGTGCTCCGAATCACGAGGTTGGTGTTCAAGTCCAGGCACCTAAACGGCGTCGTCTCACCCTCCATTGGACGCCTCACAGAGCTCAAGGAACTCACCCTCTCCCACAACCAACTCGTTGACCGACTCCCTCCACAAATCGTTGACTGCCGAAAACTCGAAATCCTCGACCTCTCCGACAACCTCTTCTCCGGCGAAGTCCCCTCCGAATTGTCCTCCCTCACGCGCCTGCGCCTGCTCGACATCTCCTCCAACAAACTCTCCGGCAACCTCAATTTCCTCAAACACTTCCCCAACCTCGAAACTCTCTCCGTCGCCGACAACCTCTTCACCGGAAGAGTCCCTCCCTCGCTCCGCTCCTTCCGCAACCTCCGACACTTCAACTTCTCCGGTAACAGCTTCCTCGAACCGGTTTCCACTCTCTCTAGACGCTACCTTTTATCCAGTGAAGCTCCTTCTCCGGGACCTTCTTCACACAAGACACACTCCAACCGTTCTAACGCCGCAGCAGCAGCAGCTCCTGCTCCTTCTTCTAACCACCACCATAGACACAAATCCAGTAAGAGAAAAATCGCAGGGTGGATTCTCGGCTTTGTCGCTGGAGCCATCGCGGGAACCTTATCGGGGTTTGTTTTCTCTCTTCTGTTCAAACTGGCTTTGGCTTTGATCAAAGGAAGAGGCAAAAGAGGTGGACCTGATATTTATAGTCCCTTGATTAAGAAAGCCGAAGATTTAGCCTTTTTAGAAAAAGAAGAAGGAATCGCTTCGTTAGAAATAATCGGAA